AGGAGAGATCCAGTAAATTACATCTTCCATGATACCCAGTGAATGAGACCTTCTGTAGACAAACAGTGGGCATGAATGAAAGCTTCTTCACTTTTCCGTGTGTCTGCTTACACTGTAACATACCCTGAATGTATGAGTTGTGTTAGGCCTTGAAAACTGATCAATAATAACAGTTCTTTCTCTGAGTGGCCGTTGCTCTGTACCACCAGGCATTGCACTTGACACTCTGCTATAAGCATATCGTCCTCGATGCTGTGAGAATTAAAAAGAGTATTAAGAGAATGCAGCAATTGAATTGGTTAAAATAATAATTTTTCCATTGCCATGCAAAAAAACACATGAGAAGGAGAAAGAAAAATATGTTTTCACTAACCAAAAGCACCAATTGAAGTTAATTTAAGGGTACTCATACTTTTCAAACAGATTTGAGACTGTGTCCTAATACTAGCCTATAATCCCCAACAGCTTACGGTAATTAAAAAGATAATAACAGACTTTACATGTGTCACAATTCAAAGCATTATTCAGAAGCAAAATAATATCAACATGCCAATTAACTTTCATTCTGGTTATTTATTACTTCCCTACTCTTCAAAAATAGGCCAGTATCAACAAGATTTTTTTTTTTCAGTTGATGTCCTTTTCTGCTTCAGACAGCACAATTTTCTACTTATTATAACCTAACATTAGTGAATAAAACACTGAAAAGAGATATTTAAATCCAGATGCATAAAAGTGCAAGGTTACTATCTGGTCGGTTGGTTGGTTTTCTCTTTTTAAAACCTGATATTTCCGTTGTCAGAGAAAAGTCTTTCCATCACGACCTGTTTGTGACCTGAGGTTTTAAACTGGCCTCTCTTGCATTCTAATGGTACCACAACGTAACACACATTAGCATGTTAAGACCATGCATTAAATATGAATGAACACCAACTGTAAAATTGCTCATTTCAACCACTGGCACAGAGAAATTTATTTCCAAATGGTATTAAGTTCTTCACCAGCACAAAAGTGAACACAGCTTACAGAGCTCTGTTGCAGCCGAGGTACTGAAAGATATTGTTCAACAGCCTCTGAGTTTATTGGTGGTAACTTGTTCCGAGTTGCAGATGCACGAGCAGAAGACAAACGACTCGAGCTGGCACCCCTGTAGAATTTAAGGGTTCCTCTTTTAGGAAAATTCACAGTAAAGACTTCGTCACTGAAGTAATATGAAATTACTAAGCAGTACATTTCTTTACAGGAGTTCAACTACAGAAAGCAACAGCACGTAATAGTAATAAAAATATAAAACAAATGCCTCTCCCCAAAAAACACGGTTCTGCTTGCTTTCTTTTTCTCTCTGAATTCTAGAATCAGTAACAAATCTTAGATTGGTTCTCATGTATTTTGCAAAATCCTTCACTGGTGAAATTTCGGTAAAGTTCTGAGGAAAGCAAAGAATAAAATGAGAAAACTCACAATTTAGTCCCCCTAAGGATTTCATCATTGTACATATTAGGAGCTTTTGAGGAGAGTTGGTCAGAAGTGAGAGAAGGTAACCTACGATGGCTTGGTAGCTTCCTAGAAGATGCCAGCAGTACTCGAGATGAGAGAACACTGTTATCAGCAATTCTCCCCAACCTAGTGTGCACTGAATTTGGAGCACTGGAGCCAATGCTATGCTGTTTGTCGTCTTGCTCATTCCTAGGGAAAAAGGAAGAAGAACAAGACAGGGAATGAGGATGAAGAAAAAAAAGTAAAAGTATTTCTTAGAGTATAATTGCAACCTCTACAAATCATTGTCACATCAGTGATACACACAAAGGAAATGACTGCCTTCTTATTGCCTTTTTATAATTGCAAAACATAAATCATGCCACGTTTTAAAAATGTCAATACCAACACCTACTGTATTTTTTCTACTGTGGCAACATGCCTCTGTTGGAGTGGTTTTGCTTGAATTGTCATCACGCCATTCAAATCCCTACTGAAGTTGCTGGAAAAACGGTGAACCTAGTAAAAGCAAAAAATATGCATTATCTTTTTATGAAGGAAGACCTCAAAAAGCACATAGTTAGGAGATATTTTACTTGTTTCTTAGAAAAGTTTCTGTTAAGATGGTTCAGTAGAATTCTCAGTAGTTGATGAGGCAAACACGTTGTTTTGCTCATTTTAAACAGATTCTTACAAACAGAACTTGGGTAATTTAGCTACTGAATTGCAACTCAACTTGCAATATAAGTTTCAGTTCAAGCTGGAGTTTGATTCTCTGAAGTTTCCATTTTCTCTTAGCACAGTCCAGCCCAGGGGCACAGAGCCTCAGCATTACTTATCTAAGCATTTTACTTCTTCTGGTTGCCGGCACCACTACAGAACCAAGCACACCAAGAGGGAGCATGGAGGCTGCTGTGCTATCTCTTCCGTGTTCTTATCTCGCTATCTAACAAGTGTCGAATAAGAGCAGATGGAAGAGAATGAAGTTACTTGAGCTGAACAGAGAGTCGGGGAGGGGGGGGGGGGGGGGGAGA